GTAATCCTTTCCAGTTGTTGTAGCTACCTAGTCAATTGTACGAAATCACTAACATATGTGAGAGCGCTGCTCTTCTCTGTTTGCCCAAAACGTAGAATTGTTTCGCCATATTTTAGGTGGTCCAGGCTTATTCCTAGGTAATCATGATAATAAGCTTTTGGAAGGGCTCTTAGGAAATCCTGGGGCTCAAAGAAGGGTCCCCAAACTTACCTTTCCTCTCGGTCTTAAAATTACTTCCCACATGTAGACTAGGTTACTGTCGTCAATCTTCTATCGTGTATAGTTATCATACAATTATTGCTAAGTTGCATGTGGCGTACAACAAAATGCACTCAAACAAAAGCAAAAGGATACTGTACTTAAGCAAGTTCTGATCTGTGAAATAAGTCAAATACCTTATCTTTTTTAACATATTGAAATCAAATGTAGGGAATGATTTTTCCAGATGTTAAACAGAAGATTTTGATCAAAAAATTCCTAGTAGACTCTGGAAAAATATTTCTGGAATGAACTTTTATATAAGAAGAGGGAAGATACCAACGGATCGATTCCAACCCATTCCAGGAAGAATCCTTTGCCCTAGGACGTAAGCGGCGTGCATCATTCAGCAGCAAACGCGATGCTCTTTCTGATACACAGGCTTCATGCGCTCAGATCGCAAACGATTTGATGCAATTCGCAAATGGAAGAGTATTCATCGATTACCTCTACCCCGATGATGCATCGAAGAAGTTGATTAGAGAGTGAGGAAAATTAGAATATCTCTTAACTCAATCGTAATATCTTCTATAAGAGGACAATTCAATAAATAAGAGAAAAAAATTAGAATTATAGCACTGCTGGTGGAGTCATTGAGAATGTCATTCATTCATTCCAAGGGATGATAGATCAATTGGACTGGATGACTGTAGACACGAAGAGAAAAGCGTACAACAAGACCATGGAAATCAGTGTGTTCGCCTGATATTTGTATCAAAAATTTTCGTTACTTTCTCTGAATTTCAGTTAAAAATGTTGCGTTCCCCGACTGGATTATGAATAACACCCAACTTGATGCTTACTACCAAGACCTTACTTTCAATTCGACTGACAACTACTTCGACATGTATTCTAAGCTGACTGTGTAGGTGTACGAGATTCATAAAAAAATTCACTTAACCCTCCAGCCTTTAGTACACTCTATTCATTTTTTCAGGTTCAACATAAGGTTGCAATATAAACAACTAACGTTCTCCCAAACCGACCGTACCGATTTCCTTGGTCAACCAGGAACGGTGAACGCTTGGTATCAGGTGGGTAAAGGTAACAGTTTTTGTGAAGTCCTACTGCTATAAACGCAACATTTCAGCCAGAATTGAATTCGATTACATTCCCAGCTGGTATTCTTCAACCACCATATTTCCATCCATTGTGGCCAGCATCCATAAACTACGGTGGAATGGGCCTCGTTGCAGGTGAGAGTTGAACATTTTTGTCGAGTTCTTTGAGAGGTATATGCACTAAATTTTTTTAGGACACGAACTTACCCATGGTTTCGATGACGAAGGCGTACAGTGGGGCCCATCAGGTGCCATTTCATTCCCGTCTTGTGATAACTGCACAGGATGGATGGACGCGAACTCCACGGCTGGATTTAACTCAATGGCTCAATGTGTTATTTCAGGTGAAACAACTTCCGTTATATAATTCAAGCACCATTTAAGACATTGCAACAGCACTTTATACAAAGAAGGCTATCAAGTATGCTTCTAATTGTGAAAGCGGAAACAAGGAAATTATAATACGTTGCAGTAGCGCTTTTCAGACAATTCTATACATTTAAATTATTAATTTGCTATCTTCTAAGCCTTTACTTGGAAATTTCAGAACATATTCTTGTAAAACTAATTTTCTGTAGTACAGATCTGCCTTCACCTATGAAATGCTGGTTTTGAAACAAGTGGTTTTGATCAGACAGAAACTGCACTTTCAATTTTTTTTCCAGTCTAAGCTAATACTAAGTGAGAGTCGAAGAGCTATTCGCCATTTTTAAATGTGTGGTATTCGAGCATGCTCTACCGTATCCTTAGCTTACCTCCTAAACAGATCCATTTCTTTGCTACTAGTGAATACTTAGGATCCAAAAGCAATGAAATTACGAGAAAGTTGAAGAGATATAGCAAATGTTCAGAATACAACAACTTCTGTCCTCCAAATCTTAGCCAATATTCGCCTAACTGTGTAAATGGTGTGCAAACTCAAGGAGAGAACATTGCCGACAATGGAGGTAAAGTCTGACCAATCTGTGGTCATCTGTTGTTATTAAAAGATTGCTTGTAGGTATTCATGCTGCTTTCCGCGCATATCGAACGCACATTGCTTTGGACGGCCCGGATCCACTGCTCCCCGATCGTTTGTTCGGACAATTCACACACGATCAGCTCTTCTTCTTGAGTTTCGCTCAGGTACGTCTTATAGGCGTGCTTCTCATGCACAATAGAGGTAAAGGCAGGGCTTTTCATAAAACTCGTCAGTTGGCATGAATCGCGTTACCAGCTCTTCATATAAAATTTAACAAATTGGTAGCGCGGGGGCGAGAAAATCTTGCTGTAAATATCTACATAATTACAATCTCTGTTTACATGAGATGCACATTATCATTAGTACCGAGACTGGGTAAGATCATCGCAACTGCACAAAAAGTCACTGGAATATGAGCAAGTGTTATGGTAGAGCGCTAAGAAAATCGAATTTTGCTAATTCTTTATGTGCTCTACTTCCAGCAAAATTACTTGTTTCATTGCCTACTAGGCCATAGTATTTTGTAGAGTTTTCCCTATATACTTACCTTAACACCATATTCTAGGTCTGGTGCGAAAAGCCACGCACTAATGACAAACTCTACCAGCAGTTAATGGTCGATCCTCACTCGCCATCGATGTACCGAGTATTTGGAACCATTCAAAACTACCCTGCCTTCCAAGTTGCCTTCAACTGCCCCGTTAATTCAAGATACACACCTTCATCACATTGCAACGTTTGGGTTCCCAACAAGGAACCTTAGATAACACAGTTTTACCACACATTCTAGCCTATTGAATATTTAATATTACTTGCATTATTCTCCGATGCAAGAGAAGATCGT